CAAAATTAAAGCAACGGAATTAAAATCATAAGCGAAAGTCTTAAATTTAGATAGCTAAATAAAATACAGAACCCCAACATGAATCTCTACCCCGGAACTGGAGTCACATACTCACGAACATCTAAGAAGTACTAAATACAAAGTCTGAAAGAAAGCATAAATTTGTTTATCTCGGGTACAATGAGATGACAGTCCAATATAAGGAAAGAGGAGACGCCGGGCCTGCAGACGCCTGCCAGGCTACATCGGGTCTCTCCGGACTGAAGGTATGCTCCCGTGCTAAAGCTGCTGCTGCTCGAAACCTGGACCTGTGCAAAAATGCACAGAGTGTAGCATCAGCACAACTGACCCCATGTGCTGGTAAGTGTCTAGCCTAACCCCGACGAAGTAGTGACGAGGCTAGACTGGACACCACATAAACCTGTGCAGATTTATACGCAAGTACAACGGAAAGAAATAGCAAGAACATAAAATTTTAAGCTGGGGAGGGGAGCATGCTTCAGGGGTGATAGATAGCACAAAATATCGTGAATAATGGTACGTACATCTACATTCTTAACTTCTAACAATAATGAAAAGACAAGGCAACCTTCATATTCAACTCATCTTGTTGCAGGCGTGCAACCCGATCCCATTTCTCATGAATCTCGTGGTAGGCGTACCACCCGCTCCCATTTCAATATCACTTGTGGTAGGCGTACCACCCACTCCCATTTCAATATCACTTGTGGTAGGCGTACCACCCGCTCCCAATTCAATATCACTTGTGTTAGGCGTAACACCCGCTCCCTATACTTTCAACACAGTATACAATACAGTCCCGACAAGGGAATAATCACAACAAGTCAAACATCCCAACAAGGGAGGGTCAGCTATAACCAATCCTATTCAACTTCTTCTTGGTACAACTAATATCATTATTCAGTTGCAACTTTCATAGGATCCAACAAGGGTACACAATTAGCAAAATTAAGACTCACGGTCATGCTTGACACCGACACATGGATACTCGTCACCATGCCCATACGTCGTACCCCACACAAATCAAATAGCAATTATGACTCAACTCCTAATCCCTCAAGCTAGGGTTAAACCAAACACTTACCTCAAACTTCCACGGCCAATTCAATCCTCAACAACCGCTTTCCCTCTCGAATTCGGCTCCAACTCAACCAAATCTATGCAATAATGACTTCACGTTATCAATATGTGCTAAACAAATCAAACCCAATGTCTAATTATAGCTTTTTCATCCATTTACCCCAAAAGGTCAAAAATGCCCCCGGGCTCACATGGTCAAAACCCGAGGTTCGAACCAAAACCCGATTACCCATTCCCCCATGAACTCAAATATATAATTTATTTTGGAATCGGACCTCGAATTGAGGTCCAAAACCCCCAATTTTAGAAAACCTAGGTTCTACCCAAAATTCCCAAATTTTCCCATTAAAAACTTTGTTTTGAAGTTGAAATGATGTTTAAAGATGCTAAGGAATAAAGAAAATGAGTTAGAAATCACTTACCAATCGTTTTGGAGAAGAAGAATCGTTTGGAAAATCGCCTCTTATGTTTTGGGTTTTGAAAAAGTGAAAAATGAATGAAATTCCCGACCTTATATAACCCCTGAAAGACCCAGCGCGGACCGCGCAAAAATGCACCGCAGTCGCGCTGAAGAACTGGAAAAATTACAACTCTCTGAATCTTCCAGCGCGGACCGCACTGATAGGGAACGCGGCCGCGCTGGTTGACCTGGAAAGCTGCCGGCTCTCTGAAGTCAGCTACGCGGACCGCGCATGGACGACCGCGGCCGCGTAGCTTCCACCGCGGACCGCGCTATGGCGACCACGGCCGCGCAGCAGCGCACCGCGGACCGCGCTAAGGCGACCGCGGGCGCGCTGGAGCCTGCAACTCCTCTGAACCTGCAACATCTGTTATTTCTAAGTCTAAGACCTCCCGGGGCCTACTCAAAACCCACCCGAGCCCTCGGGGCTCCAAACCGAACATACACATAACTCCAAAAACACCCTACGGACTCATCCGCGCGATCAAATCACCAAAACAACATCATTAACATCAAATTAGGCCTCAAGACCCATGATTTCCTTCCAAATTTTTCATAAAACGTCAAGTTTAGAGTTTTTAGTCCAAAACACGTGAAACGACGTCCGAATTCAGCCAAATTAATAGAAACTGCTTAAACCATATATAAGACTTGTACCGGGCGGCGGAACCAAATACGAGCCCGATACCACAATCTTTTAATCAAATTTCATTTTCATTTTCCTTAATCATTTCCAGAAAACAATTTCACACAAAAATTCATTTCTCGGGCTTGGGACCTCGGAATTCGATTTCGGGCATACGCCCAAGTCCCATATTTTCCTACGGACCATCTGGGACCGTCAATTCACGGGTCCGGGTCCGTTTATCCAAAATGTTGACCGAAGTCAAATTTATTCAATTTAATATCAAAATTTAGCATTTTTCTTACAGAATTCATATTTAAGCTTTTCGGCTACGCGCCCGGACTGTGCATGCAAATCGAGGCAACCCCAAATGAGGTTTTCAAGGCCTCGGAAGTATGGAATGAATAAGAAAACTGGTGATGACCCTTTGGTCGTCGCATTCTCCACCTCTAAAACAACCGTTCATCCTCGAACGGACAAAAGAAAGAATTACCTGAGTCGGGGAAAAGATGAGGATAACGACTCCGCATGTCGGACTCGGACTCCCAGGTCGATGCCTCAGGAGGCTGACCTTTCCACTGAACACGAACAGAAGGAAAACTCTTGGATCTCAACTGACGAACCTGCCGGTCTAGAATAGCTACCGGCTCCTCCTCATAAGACAAATCCTTGTCCAACTGGACAGTGCTCAAATCTAACACGTGGGCTGGATCGCCGTGATACCTCCAAAGCATGGACACATGAAACACTGGATGCACGGCCGATAAACTCGGCGGCAAAGCAAGTCTATAAGCCACCTCTCCCACTCGATCAAAAATCTCAAACGGACCGATGAACCTAGGGCTAAGCTTGCCCTTCTTCCCAAATCTCATCACGCCCTTCATAGGCGACACTCGGAGCAATACCCGCTCACCAACCATGAATGCCACATCTCGTACCTTGCAATTTGCATAACTCTTTTGCCTAGACTGAGCCGAACGAAGCCTATCCTGAATGATCTTGACCTGGTCCAAGTCCTCCTGAACCAAATCAGTACCCAACAACCGAGCCTTTCCCGGCTCAAACCATCCAACTGAGGATCGACACCGTCTACCATATAAAGCCTCATAAGGATCCATCTCGATGCTCGACTGGTAGCTCTTGTTGTAGGCGAACTCCGCTAAAGGCAAGAACTGATCCCACGAATCTCCAAAGTCAATAACACAAGCTCGAAGCATATCCTCTAGAATCTGAATAGTCCGCTCGGACTGACCGTCCGTCTGGGGATGAAATGCTGTGCTCAACTCAACCCGTGTGCCCAACTCTCGCTGAACTGCCCTCCAGAAGCGCGAGGTAAACTGCGTACCCTGGTCCGAAATGATAGATGCCGGCATACCATGAAGGCGAACAATCTCCCGGATATAGATCTCATCTAATCTCTCAAAAGAATAGGAGACTGCCACGGGAATGAAATGTGCTAACTTGGTCAGCCTATCAACAATGACCCAAACTGCGTCGAACTTCTTCCGAGTCGGCGGAAGTCCAGTAACAAAATCCATAGTAATCCGCTCCCACTTCCACTCGGGAAGCTCAATCCTCTGAAATACACCACCAGGCCTCTGATGCTCGTACTTAACCTGCTGCAATTCAAACAACGGGCCACATATGCTATGATATCCTGCTTCATTCTACGCCACCAATAATGCTGCCGCAAATCTTGATACATCTTCGCGGCGCCCGGATGAATAGAGTACCTGGAACTATGGGCCTCCTCCAAAATCA